GATGTACGGCGGCGCAGATGCAAGAATAACAAGCTACAGTACGTAGAAAATTATTAGATAAAGCACAGGAGTGGCGAAATACCCACAGATGTTCAGTAGTAAAAAGTTACTATATATATTATCAGGAGTTAATAAAGACAAACTTTATCTGATATCACATATATATCACATCATCTATTAGTATTCACTCCTGGCGTTATCATATATTATTATTGCTGTTGATTTTGTTGTTGTGAGCAAAATCGCGATAAGCCCGACAACATCCCCAAAATAATATCCAAAAAAATAGGCCCCCAAAATAAATATATATATAGCTATAAGCCTTGTAGCCGCTTCAGTTCACTCCTCATTTGTGCACAAATCATCGTGGGGTTCGTCTTAAAATCATACCCTCGTCTGAAAAAGCAAAAGGATAACACAAAGAAAGTTTCGTTTTTTATAAATTACCTCATAAGGAGTGCACCAATTTCCGAACACATCTTATCTCCGTATCTCCGTATCTCCTCTCCGTATCTCCGTATCTCCTCTCCGTATCTCCGTATCTCCGTATCTCCTCTCCGTATCTCGCTACCTGAAGGGTCGCAGGTGGTATCTTAACGGTTTCCCTAAAAATAACCAATTTTTGTTGGTTCGTGCTATTTCGTATTAATGGTCGGGAAAAAAAGCTGCACTTACTTTGGTTATTATTTTTTGTAATATATTCTTAGCTAAATGAACAATTATTCAACCTCACGGAAGATTATTTGATCATTAATTAATTGTTACAAAACCGTAAATTTTTGTAGAATAAATATACCATCTCTGTTCAAATATTAGAACGCAGATGCGAGTCTTTTATAACACGTTATGAGGGCTCACTTTCTAACGCCGAATGTATATAAATTAAAAAAAGACAGTTTTAAGACGAAAACTTTATTGAATCACGGTCTGGTGACGTTCGCGGATGCTCTCGCTCACGTCCGTGTACCCCATATATGAAATGAAGGCGCGGTGGTCACTCGTCTGCGTTCGTTCACGTTTCACCGAAACAGCTCGTATATATATATACATCTAGATCGTCTGCGATTAACCACCACACGTGACTGGAAGCCGCGCGGCAGCTGCACTATACACGGCTAGCATGAATTCGTTGGAAGCGGTCCCGCCTAAGAAAGCCGGGGCGTCCCGTCCTCCATCAACGCACCCTAAATACAGTGAGATGGTTATCTCCGCAATTGACGATCTTAAGGTGAGTCTCTCTCATTATATTTTCTCTCTCTCTAGCCCTGTGTGTGTGTGTGTGGGTGTGTGTGTGTGTGTGTGTGTGTGTGCTGTGTGTGTGTGTGTGTGTGTGTGTGGTGTGTGTGTGTGCGTGCGTGCGCACGCTGTGTGCGTGCGTGCGTGCGTGCGGTGTGTGCTGCTGTCGTTGTGTGTGTGTGTGGTGTGTGCGTGTGGGTGTGGTGCGTGCGTGCGGTGTGTGCTGTGGTGCGTCGCGTGCGTGCTGTGTGCTGGTGTGCGCTGCGCGTGTGTGTGTGTCGTGCGCGCGATGCTTGTGCGTATATTAATATTGATCGTACCCTTAAGCAACTAATGTCAAAAATAATATCCATCGTATACCTCGTTAGGATGACAAGATATACGTTAGCCGTTGGAAACGTTTAGTATACACATAATATAATACTTATTGTTCCTCGTAGCTCGGTTTACGGTGTAGTCTTCTGGTTAGCCTTGGATCATCGCATGGGCATCCGTGATTCTCTATCTTGCTAGTGCTATACTATACGCCGCATGTTTTTTCGCGCAGGCGCTGTTGGGCATATTTGGCGGAGCATCTGGCTATCTGGCGGGCGCTCTGTTGGCCATATTTGGGGCGGACGCATGCTGGCAAAATTGGCCGGGCGCTTGTTCAGCATATTTTCTGGGGCGGAGCATGCTGGAAAATATCGGCGGGCGCTTGTTGGCATATCTTCGCGGGAAGGCTTTGCTGGCATATTTGCGAGCAAGTTTTAAGCGAAATTTTCCGCGAAGTTTTGGCCGGAATTTCTTGGCGGGAGTTTTAGCATGAACTATTATTCTCTTTCGTATACAGTTCTAATCTATTTAGAATTTGACTTTAAAGGAGAGGGCGGCCTCGTTCGCGGCAAGCTATCGGCTCAAATCATAGCGTCCACTACACCGTCCGGCAGACGAGAAGGCTTGTGAACACGCAGGGTGACGCCTAGCGGTTCTGCACGAAGCGGGCCGTGAAGGAAGCGTCGAGGCAGGTCACCGGGCGCAGCGGCTCCCTCCGGGAAGTCTTCCGGCCGTCGGCACACAGACCAGATAGAAGCAAGGAACACCCACACGGAGAAGAACATCCCGAACGGCGACGCAAGACCTGCCGCTTAAGCCAAAGGAGATGGCCAGCGAGCGCTCGCGAAGAGCGCCACCGAAGGAAGAAATGTTCTGCTGCGAAAAGCTCGCGTCACCCACTCATCAAGGCGAGGTTCGGAAAGACAGGAGACGCAAGCCGTCGCCGATGGCGGAACACGGCGAAGGGTAGAAGGAAGCCAGCAGCAGGAGCCGCGCGCGGTCGCAGATAACAAGGCGAAAAAGACCAAGTTGGTGGCTAGAGAAAAAGGATCTCCTGTCGGCAAAAACCGAAAACGTTCGCGTCGTCCAAAAAAACTTCGGCGGCAACAGCAAACCGCGAAATCAGGGAAGGACTGAGCACGCCGCACGCTTAGTGTAAAGCAGGGAATTATCTCTCTCTCTCTCTCTCTCTCTCTCTCTATCTCTCTGCTCTCTCTCTCTGCTCTGTCTCCGTCGTCTGTCTCTGTCTCTGTCTCTGTCGTCTGTCCTGTCTCTGCTCTGGTTCTCTCTCTCTCTACTTGTTCTTCTCTGTCCTCTCTCTGTGTCTCTTTCTCGTCTCTCTCTCTCTCTCCTCTCTCTCTTCTCTCCTCTCTCTCTTTCCTTCTCTCTCTCTCTCCTCTCTCTCGCTCTGTTGCTCTTTTCTCTGTCTCTCTCTCTCTTCTGTCCTCTGTCCTACTGTCTCTGTCTCTGTCTCTGTCTCTGTCTCTTGTCTCGCTCTCCATCTCGCTCTCGCTCTCGCCTCTCCGCTCTCGCTCTCGGCTCTCGCTCGTCGCTGTCGGCTCTCTGCTCTCGCTCTCGGGGCTCTCTCTGTCTCTCTTGCGTCTCGCGTCCCCGCCTCTCACCCCCCCCCCCCCCCCCCGCGGCCCGCCCCCCCCCCCTCCTGTCTCTCTTCGCTGCTGCGCTCTCGTGGCTCTCTCTGTCTCTCCTTGCTCTCGTCTCTCTGTCTGTCTCTTCTCCGCTCTCTGTCTCTCTCGCTCTCTTGTTGCTCTCTCTCTCTCTCCTCTCTCTCTCCTGCTGCTCTCTCGCTCTCTGTTCTCTCTCTCCTGTCTCTCTTGCTCTCTCTCTCCCTCTCTCTCTCTCTCTTCTCTCTCTCTGCTCCTCTCTGTCTCTCTCTCTCTCTCTCTCCTCGTGTCTCTCTCTCTCTCTCTCTCTCTCTCTCTCGTCCTGTCTCTTTCTTCTGTCTCTCGGCTCTCTGCCTCGCTTCTCTCTTCGTCTCTCTCTCTCTCTTCTCTCTCTCTCCTTCTCTCTCTCTCTCGCTGCTCGCTCTCTCGCCTCTGGTCTCGTCTCTCTCTGTCTCTCTCTCTCTCTCCTCCTCCGCTCTCTCTCTCTCTCTCTCTCTCTCTCTCTCTCCTTTCTTCTCTCCTCTCTCTCCTCTCTCTCTCTCGTCTCTTCTCTCCTCTCTCTCTCTCCTCTCTTCCTCCTGCTGCTGCGAAACCTTTGGGCTGCTAACGCTTGTGCATCTACTTTTTGAAATATCATAGAAACCCAATTAAAAATGTGATATAATGAGGCAATTACCCCGTGTATCGAAATTTTCATCGAGTCCCCAACAGTTGTCTTGTTCCAGTCATACTTTTCAACTGCTCGCGTTTTTTTTATAATCAGTAAAATAACTTATAAAAACATAAGTAACTTCATATTCAGCAAACGTCTTCTGATTCCCTCGTCAACGTCTTGTAAAATAAAGTGTGATGTATATCGATAACCTTTTCCGCCTTGGACGTCCTTTGACTATCGGTTATCACTCTGAACGCCTGTAAATCGGCACCCACAACATCCTCTGAATACACGATTGAGCCATTAATATTACTCTATCCGTGGCTGGATCAACTAACTCACAATGGCCCGGTCACCACCCAAATTCCTGCCGCCTCCTGATCGAATGATAAGCCATAGAAACTATATAGAGACATGCATAGAGCCTACCAACGTTGAAACTAATCAGAGGGTCTTATCTAAAACCTAACTCAAGAGAAACGTCAATGTTATTTTATAAATCGGGTTAGGTCTACACACAGGTTTGATATAAATAATAACTCATGGTTTTAGCAATAAACAGAGTCATTCTTATAATGTCTGCCACTCTGAGCACACCACCACCATGTATACATTTACACCACCTCCATGAAGCGACTAGAAAATTCCAAGCGTTTTGCCGTGATGTTAGTATACCGCGCCATTCATTATGTTGATCCATTCAGTTGGCATCGGTTCTCCCAACGTAATTCAAATCGCTTTAGCTTTATTTATGTTTTCGCTACGTTTTTCTTTTTAATAACATAATACCCCAAAAAATTGATATCTTTCATTGGCATACGGCTTTGACTAGGTCCCAGTCTGCCAGCTTCTTATTTCCCACTGAATTTAGCACAGAGCCCGGGCACGGTACAGCCCAACAGTTACTTTCATCTGTAGCGACATGTTTCACCAATTAGCACAAATTCGACCGAAGGAACAAATGAATTACGGCAGCCACATATTTTTTCCTGATTGGCTACGTTATGAAGAGTAATTTAAATCAGATACTGATCTTCTGGCTACCCCAGATTGCCTTTCATTCAACCACCGCCCCCCCCATCGCACGATTTACGATTGTCGGTTAATTATCCTTAATTAGGTGTGGCGGCTAGAACACGCGTCAGCTGGGCTGTGAAGTGGCGCTGCTCACACGACATGCCCCACTGCACAGTGGCGCCCTCACACGACCATCCCACTGCACAGTGGCGCCCTCACACGACCATCCCACTGCACAGTGGCGCCCTCGCACGAGCATCCCACTGCACAGTGGCGCCCTCACACGACCATCCCACTGCGCCGTCACGTAAGCGTCATTACGAGTCGGACCTCCACGTGAACGACAACGCTCACGCCCCCTGTGAATGGAATGGCCACCGGTGGCGCCACCACGGACGACGGCGCATCGCCATGGCGACCGACGTTATTCGTACACGCACTTCTCGGTGAAGGTGCATCCGTGACGCTGGATGATGAGGTTGGCGACGTAGTTAGCGGCGCGCACACACTGCTCCGTCGATCGCTCCAGCATCAGCTGTGACAGGTAACCTACAGGCATGAGAACAGATTGACATGTTTTTGGAGGAACTATTGCATTGAATTTTTCATTTTCTATGAACCATTGTCACCGAGTTTCGGTATGCATGAGAATAGGCTAAAACCCTTTACATTACATATATATAGATATATGGATACCCCGCGATATTTATCTGGAGTTACGTCACTTCTGTGTGAAATTTGACGTATTTTTGCTGACTTTTTATGAAGTTAAAATTAAAAATGGCGTCCATTTTGACAAGAAAAGTACACTTTATTGTTTTTTGCATTGATCTCAAGAACGACCAAAATGAAAACCAAAAGCCGGATATCCGCGAATCCGCGCAAAATTCTCATGCCAGAACCTAACGAGAAGATGCACGACATGACACGATGTGCAAACGAACCAGCCGAGGGCGCCACCCGTGTCCGACCGCCATGACAACGGCGACGTGTCATGGCGGAGGCACGCACTATATGAAGGATTAAGGAACTGTTACCTTGGTATACCAACCCCCTAAGAAGGATTTAAGTTCTGTTACACGGCTGTAAAGCCCCTACAAAGGATATAAGATCCGTCACGTTTTTCGATAGCTAGATAGATACATAACTTTGAGAATATGATGTAAATCTTGCAAAACAGCATCCTTATCATCAAGCAATATAAAATTGATATTGATGATGTTTACAATCACATTCAACAGCATTATCGCTTGCTATACTACTAAAATTAAATCCATACAATTAAAAAAAGATACACAAAATTGTATATATAGAATTTCAGGGAGTCTAAAATAAAAAATATATAAAAAAATATAAAAATGTATAAAAAATATAAAAATTATATAAAAATATAATAAGCTCGTACGGCGTTCTAAAATCGTGAGCGAAAATATACGCTGCCGGGCAGCGTACAGAATCGCTAGTGTGTCCTAGGCTTTGTCTTTCCTTCTCTTCCTCTGCTGCTGCGAACATGGGATGTAACGCTTGTGCATCTACTTTGTAAATATCATAAAACCAATTAAAAATGTGATATAATGAGGCATACCGTGTATGAAATTTCATCCGACGTCCCCAACAGTTGTTTGTTCCATGTCATACTTTTCACTGTCGCGTTTTTTTATAATCCGTAAAATAACTTATAATAAAATAATAACTTATTCAGCAAACGTCTTTGATTTTAGTCAACGTCTTGTAAAATAAAGTGTGATGTATACGATAACCTTTTCCGCTTGACCGTCTTTGATATCGGTTTACTCTGAACGCTGTAATATCGCAACCACAACATCCTCGAATACGGGCGATGCATTAATTATTCCTCTATCCCTGGCTGGATACAATAATTCACAATGCCCCGGTACACACCCCCCCCAAATCTCCTGCCGCCCCTGCCGCCATCCTGATCGAATATAACCATAGAAATATATAGAGACATGCATAGAGCCTACCTACGTTGACACTAATCAGAGGGTCTTATCTAAATATTTGTACAGTGAAACCTAACTCAAGAGAAACGTCAATGTTATTTTATAAATAGGGTTTCGTTCTATAGACCTATGTGACTTCACTTTACAAGTCAAAGGTGTATATTATTGGTGGGTGTCTGTGTTAGAGATGACAGAGGTGTCCTCTACACACAGATTTGATATAAATAATATAGATAAACAGCAATAAACAGAGTCATTCTTATATGTCTGCCACTCTGAGCTCATACTAATTCCACTACCATATACATTTCCACGAAGCGACTAGAAAATTCCAAGCGTTTCGTGTGTTAGTATAACCGCCATTAATTATGTTGATCATTAGTTGGCATCGTTTCCAAGTAATTCAAATCGCTTTAGCTTATTTATGTTTTTGTAACGTTTTTTTTTAATAACATAATACAACCAAAAAATATATTTTCATGCATACGCTTTGATAGGTCCCAGTCTGCCAGCTTTTATTTCCAACTGAATTAGCACAAGCACGGCACGGTAGAGTCAATAGTTACTTCATCTGTAGCGACATGTTTCACAATTACACAAATTAACGAAAGAACAAATGAATTACGGAAGCAAATATTTTTATGATTGGCTACGTATGAAAGTAATTTAAATCAGATACTACTGGCTTACCCCAGATGCTTTTCATTTCAACCACCCCCCCACCCATCCAACGATTTACGATTGTCGGTTAATTACCTAATTAGGTGCGCTAGAACACCGTCTGCTGGGCTGTGAAGTGGCGCCCTCACACGACCATCCCACTGCACAGTGGCGCCCTCGCACGACCATCCCACTGCACAGTGGCGCCCTCGCAC